GTTGCTGTGAGCGTGATGCCATGGCACTCTACCCAGGTGGGATAGCTTGAGGCTCCATCTCAAAAAAAAAAAAAAAAAAAGACATTTGATTTGTGATCTCAAGGCTTGCTTCACCTTTGTGAAATGGTTCCCACGAATTTGAATTCCTGCCCTAGAAGTAGTTCCTTTACATAGGCTCCCAACCTTTGTGGGGGTCAGAGCAGAGTAGTTTTCTGGATGTGCCGGGGGAGGAGGGCAGTACAGGGCTGGATGCTGGAACCCCAGGGACGAAAACAGGCATCACAGGCTCTGCCTAAGTGGCTCTCAGCAGCCTGTGACCATCTGGAACCTGGCCCTCTGCTGCCACAGAACCTGTTTCTTAGCTTCCGGTCATCTCAATAGGGTGAGGTCCATACTGCTCTGCATTCACACTGCACCCAATGCAAAGCAAAGACCACGTTACCAACTTCTTGGCAAGGACATTACCTCCCATCACCCGTTAGGTCTGCTTTTAGAAAACAGGTAAATTTGATGTGTGGCAGCAAAGCAGTTGGCTGGGTCAGTAGTAGGATCAGAAAGAAGCACTCACGCGAGCCTTCATGAATGCCAGGGCCCTCTCTGAGAACCCGATCAACCTCATGCAGTGATGGATCCTGCCGGGGCCCAGTCTGCCCTGGGCGATCTCAAAGCCTCGCCCAGGTCCCAGGACCATGTTCTCCTTGGGCACACGCACGTTTTCAAATCGGACTTCACCGTGGCCTCCTGAAAGACCCAAATGATCACCTTGGGCCCTGTCCATCTCCCTTGGATGTGTTTATTCTTCGCCTGTTTGGGCTATCTACTAGCAATGTTGAGGCCCTTTAGCTGGGCTTCCAACTAGGACACAGTTAAAGGGAAAGGGAGGGCAGGAAGGAGCTTATGAAAGATAGAAAATGACTCTCTGGTGTATAATGACAAATGGCCATTATGTCATTCCTTTTATGAAAACATAATGATGCTACCCTAAGCTGAAATGCCCCAATAGTTTGTGTTAAACTATGTACATTGTGAGCAAAGAACCCCCAGTCAAAGGACCAAACTGGGGCTGTAGCCTGGAGGTGGGCTATCCACTCTGGGGCCTAGGAGAGAAGGTCTGGAGTCCACTTGCTGCCTCCTGCCTCTTGCCCTGCGTGACTTCCCTTGTCATACACTCCTCTTCTTATCTAAGCTTAGAAGAGGGAAAAAAAATGCATAAACGCCTGTCTGATATCTGCCCACATGGTTGATACTTATGTATGGAAATGAAAGGCACAAGCATGTGGCTCTCCAAAAGTCATCAGACCCTTACATGTGGGACATGGCAAGTCCTGAACAAGATCAAGGGCTGCCCAAAGTCATTTCTCAGGGACCAGACCCACCTAGGGGCAACCCACCCTAAGAGGTCCAACCTGGAGCATCTTCCAGCCCATACACTGTCAGGGGCCGGATGATTTTTATTCCTGGGGTATCCATGGGAACCAGAAGGATAGACTGCTGCTGGTGGCTTGGGGCAAGCGGGTCTGTTTTTCCCATAAACACACAGAGTTGGCAACGAGGATCCAGGACGCCTGCCAGGAAAGGAGAGAGACAGACTCTGATCACCTGATGCCTGGGCCATCAGATCTCTTCACACATGTAGTCCTAGCCCAGGAAAGGGGAGGCAGCAAACAGAGCTCTCTGAAACATCATGTAATCAGATGTACATTTGAAGCCTCCTAACCAGAAATAAGAGCAAATTGGTTTTTGTCCCAGTGAGGAATGAATCCAACATCGTAACAGTAAGTTTTTAAAAAATCATCGTGAAGAGCTAAAAATATAATTTAAGAGATAAGAGGCTGAAAACTGCTATGTTATCACTGCTAGCCTGTTCTGTGCTATTCCTACAGGTGGTATAAACATAATGGTTTTGGGTCCGGGTCTTGGAAGCAAGCAAACCTTTAACTCTGGGTCCCCTACTTGGTGGCTGGGGGCTAGTACGTTAGGGAAGTGACTTAAGTTGCTTTTCTGAGTCCTGGTTTCTTCCTCTGCAAAACGAGGCTGATGGCACCTACCATTTGGGGAGGTGTGGGCTCAGGTCAGGTAGGCCCAGGACTGTCATTAGCCCTAAGCACAAAACACACCTCATCTAAGAGCAAGGGGAAGCCACTGAGGAAGTGACTTTCTGCCTTTCCAAAAAGAGCTGCCCAAGGCAGAATGAAGATGGCAGGGTGAGTAAAGAGATTTCTAGAGTCGTGTGTGGTATTTAGGGGACATCTCTACCCCTGTGAAATAGCACCCTTGAGAACAGGACACTCCATGCAGTGTCCTCTTGTTCTCTAATGTTTGCTGGGGCCACAAAAAGACAGAATCTCCTTTGTGTCAACAGAAAAAGAAGCTAGCCACTACCAGGCACCAAGAGACATGCCCATCAGTACAGACTCAAAGACATGCACTTAGAAAAGCAAATGTCAGGCCAAATACCTGTGATCCACCACTTGTGACCATTTATGACATAGGAGCAATCCTCTTCTCTGATGGAAGCCTCAATGTTGGTGGCATCCGATGAGGCAACCTGAGTGACATCAGTAGTTATTCTAGTTAGAGCTGCCAAGGTCACCTATTGGGGCCTGGCAAATGGGTAGTGGCTCAAGTGAGGTACCTGTGGCTCAGTCATAGCAAAACAGGAGCGAGCCTTGCCCTCCAGCAAAGGAACCAGCCAGCGAGCCTTCTGCTCCTCAGTGCCATACCTTACCAGAAGTTCCATGTTTCCCGTGTCAGGGGCAGAGCAGTTAAATATCTGACAAGGAACAAGAGCACAACAGGGACTCTCACATCCATATTTAAAACTTCAAATACCCTGGAAGAGGTGGAATAGGACCCCTTCCAAGTCATAGTTCTTCCTCACACCCAGGAATGGCCAGACATATAGTATTTTGAATACAGTATCTCAGAGTCCCTGAAGCCCAGCTGTAGAACCTTCGGAGAGAAGGGAGCCTGCAGGGGTGTGGGAGGCTCACGGGGCTCTCATCTTCCCCCAGCAACTCCCAGCCCTGAGCTGCTTTCTGGTTATTGTTCCAGTCACCTGCCTATAGTTGTCCTCCTTCCTTGCAAGAAGTCACCTAGGCTGGAGTGTAATCATAGCTCACTGTAGCCTCAAACTCCTGGGCTCAAGTGATCCTCCTGCCTCAGCCTCCCAAATAGTTGGGACTACAAGCATGTGCCAAGACACCCAGATAAATTTTTTGTTTTTTAGAGATGGGGGTCTTGCTATGTTGCCCAGGCTGATCTTAACTCCCAGCCTCAAGCAATCCTCCTGCCTTACCCTCTCAAAGTGTTGGGATTATAGATGTAAATGGCCCTAATAAAAAGTTTAAATTTGAGTTGGTGCTTCTAAATTCACTCTTTCTATTTGTGCAGGAGAGTGACTAGGAGAGTGAGGGGAGATGTTCTTTTTTTTTTTTTTGAGACAGAGCCTCAAGCTGTCACCCTGGATAGAGTGCTGTGGCATCACAGCTCACAGCAACCTCTAACTCCTGGGCTCAAGCAAGTCTCCTGCCTCAGCCTCCCAAGTAGTTGGGACCACAGGCACCCACCACAATGCCTGGTTATTTTTTGGTTGCAGCTGTCACTGTTGTTTGGCAGGCCCGGGCTGGATTCAAACCCACCACCTTAGGTGTATGTGGCTGGCGCCTCAGCCACTTGAGCCACAGGTGCCGAGCCAAGGGGAGATGTTCTTATAGAAGACCAGGATATTCTTACACACTGAGGAAAACTTTAAAGACAGTACCTCAGGAGCATACAGAGACATGCCCATGAGCTCACACAGATGTGCATATTCCATGTTGGTCAGTCCTGCCCCATATTTTTTCTCAGGATCAATCTCCAAGGGTAGGAAAAGATTCCAAAGTCCTTCGGCCTTGGCTTTCTCCTATAATGGGAAAAATAAGACAGGGATGATTTAATTTTATTTTTGACTCATGGAAAACAATTAAAGGGATTGGAAAGAATAAGGCAGATAGCCAAAGATGCGGTGTGTGCCAAAAATAATTACATGAGTCTGCACCACTGGGCTAGATGTGGATCTGTAGGTGGTAAACATGTAAGAAGATTTCAGAAAAAACTAAGTCTTAACAGCAACAGCATTGAAAGGGTGCTCCCCCACCTTTCAATGTCCCAGACATTGCCACACATCCAGATTTTACCATTATTAGCTTTAATATTGTTGTGACTACGAATCTTATTAAAATACATGCAATGGCTATAGCAGCCTGAAGGTTTCTTCAGCAGACCTGTTAAGAACTGGGGCTGGTACCTTTGGCTTCAGCCTCAGCTGCTTTTATAATATACAGAAGGAGATAATCCTGAACAAACTTCCTTTGTGAGACAAAACTTTGTTCTTGGGACAAGGAACCTGATCCCTAAATGTAGCTCTGGGCGGGTAAGCTAGGAAGTCTATTGGTGAGTCAGGAGCTCAGGCTTTCAGCCCCACTGTGCCTGGCTGGGAGCCTCCTGACCTCTTTGTTCAGGTTCCTCACCTATGCAATGGGGATGTGACCACCACTCTAGCAGGCAGGACTACACAGGTGCAGTCACAGAAACAGACTGTGATTAGCTAAAGAGCAAAAGGAACTGAATGGGAAGGTTCTCAGGGGCTTTCTTTTTTTTTTGTAGAGACAGAGTCTCACTTTATTGCCCTTGGTAGAGTGCCATGACATCACAGCTCACAGCAATCTCCAACTCCTGGGCTTAAGTGATTCTCTTGCCTCAGCCTCTGGAGTAGCTGGGACTACAGGCACCTGCTACAACGCCTGGCTATCTCAGGGGCTTTCTAATTAGACAAGGAGAGAAGAAGCTCAGAAACAGACCAGGGTGGCCCAGAGGATTGCACTAGCATAGGATACTAAGCAGTTGTGTGGGGGCCCCAGTGTTGTGGAATGAATGAGTGCCAACTGTTTACTATGTTGAAAATATTACTCATTGTTTCATTTCCAGGAAAGGAGAGTCTGCCCAGCTTTTCACAGCTCACATGATAACTTCTTAGCTAGGGAGGACTGGGTTGGTGCCTTGACTAATGGTTCTGTCAGGCTATATCTAAAGGTGGGGAGAGAGAATGCTCCTGGGCTAAACTTGGGTGTTGCTACCAACAGCAGGGGGATGGATACCAGGCAGCCCAAACCCAACCAGGGTCCACAACACCTACCTACTGGGTTGTTGTGAAGATTAAAGGAGAACATATAGAACATAGAAAGCTTGTTGTGGCAGCCACTGGGTTGCAATGAATACATATTGGTGATTGTGGATACAATCGCTATCACTGCTGCTTCTCACTGGGGAGCTCACCAGTTAGACAAGTTGGCCTTGTCTCAATGCCATGTGCTTCCAGAATCAGTTCATGTCCACTCCTCACTATGTGTGTTGAGCTAATCAGCTCAGAGTGCAATGACCAAGGAGAAGAAGGGCAGATTCACTGGAAGGGAGGAAAAAGTGAGAGAAGTTCTGAGAAGAAAGAATGAGGAAATGAATCTAATCGCAGAAGGAAGGGAAAATGAAACCACAGAATTTACACCTGGAGATCTGGATTTGAATTGAGGTGTTATTATTTCTTACTGTGCACTGTACACAAATCTGTTTCCTTACTTTTATTTATTTTTATTTTTTTGAGACAGAGCCTCAAGCTGTCCCCCTGGGTAGAGGGCTGTGGCATCACAGCTCACAGCAACCTCCAACTCTTGGGCTCAAGTGAGTCTCCTGCCTCCGCCTCCCAAGTAGCTGGGACTACAGG